CATTGAATGGACAAACAAAAAGAAAGAACATCTTTTTCTTTGGTTGAGTTCCTTGAATAATTGATTGTCTCATGATTTCTCTCGTAATAATTTCCTTTAGATTCATAATGGTGCACCACATGATTCAAATTTTGGTTATTCATATGCTAAACGAATGATTGATGTTTTAAATAAGTTGGAATATGTTAAACTTATTTTTTATATCTGTATCTAGAGATTTTTTACAGAGGTTATTCCGTTCAACATAATGTTCATTATACATCAATTATTCCAACAAATGTTTTTGGACCAAATGATAATTATAATATTGAAGATGGTCATGTTTTACCAGGTCTTATTCATAAATGTTATTTAGCAAAAAGTAAAATGCAAATTCAAACTTTTTAATTATGTTATTTTGTTTTGTTTTTCTAGAAAATAATACACCATTAGTTATTTGGGGTTCAGGAAAACCATTAAGACAATTTATTTATTCATATGATCTTGCCAGACTTTGTTTATGGGTGCTACGAGAATATGATAGTATTGAACCAATAATATTATCAGGTAAAATAAGTTTATAAGAATTATATTGTATGTGTAGAGAGTTCAAAAAAATTCTTGAATCAATTCTATTTAATTATAATAGGAAAAGTTACAGTATTAGCATTCATGCATATTTTATATACAATTTTCTATTTAAAAATTTTTTCAAAGACATGAAAAAGATGAGCCAGCAGGTTTTTGATTTAGTTCAAACATGCTAAAAATTTTCAGAGTCGATCGTTTTGTAGAGTGGACATTTTCTATAAGATGTAAACTGTAGATTTTATTCAAGCACTTTTTTAAAGATCTCCTGTTAACGTAAAATGGTTGTTCGTTTTTCAATAATGAGTATTTAGGAAAAACAAAAACTGAGATACTTCGCCCAAAGACAAAAAATTTAGTGTGGAAAATATAAAAATTTTCGGTCTAAATTAATTTTTTAAGTTTCGAAAAGGGTACAAAATCATAGCCTTTGATATTTTCTAGTAGGTCAAAAATGGACAAACATCTTTTTCTTAAAACTTTTCGATCACCCATTATTTAGAAGAGTTTAGTGACATTTTATGATAAACGTTACTCTATGACTTAGTATAGTGTCTGAAAGCGCTAGTCGTATGAATCGTTTACTACCTGTTGAGACATTTTTGAACCATTTATGGAAACTATCTATTTTGAATAAAAAAAAAAAAGCGTTGGTTTGAGACGGTTTCTGAGAAATGTGTAGAATCTTGAATAAGGTGAAAATTCGAAAAAAAAATTAAACTTCTTTTCACCACTCCTTGATTAAGATATATGAGTTGGAAAACAGCGGTTTTATTTGCTTTGTTAAAAATTTGCTGATTACAGATGTGAAAGCAGCATTTTTCATGGTACTTTGGATTATATTTGACACGTTCGTAGTGAATAACATGGAAAATGTTTGATTTTCGACATAGACTGATAAATATCACGGTTGCTATGCTAAAACCTTTTTTAAAACAAATAAACAGTGAAAAAACAGCATTCCATGGTCGTATATTAAATACCTTCTTATCGATTGAAAGTTGCAGTTTCTGTTACGATCTTCCTTCTGAGTGAGACTTTAACAATAGAAACGAGAGATTTCGACTTGGAATTAGAACCAATGATTCCAGCATGATCCTGAAAATGAAAAACCTGTAGACAATTCAAAAAGAGTCACCTTAGCGAATTTTTACCCATACATCATTCTCTGAAATGACTCATTTTGCAAAAAAACAGTTTCTCGTAAGTGAGTTTTCAGTTTTATACCGATTAATTAACATCATAACCCTGAAAAATCGTTAAAAAAGTCAGACCATTCAAGATTAATGAGTTAGTTTTGATCCGTTCTATATCTCCACAGTAAAATGCCTTCGCCCAAATTTAATCAGACTGGTGTCATAATTAGTACTTTCATAAACCTTTCCTATGGTTTACTCCTCACAAACTCTACTGCATTCGTGCCAGGAGGTAAAGAATTAAAGATGCATAATCATACACTAATCAAGATCCCTGTTGCGAATAACATAAGTATTAAATATAGTACAATCCTTATAATTGAAGATACCAGTGAGCAGACACTACTCGTATTTCAGATGTACCATGTATGATATTTGACAAGATCAATGACATATGATTAAAGCCTATGCTATATAAATGTCATATTCATTAGTATCTATTCAACAGACAAATCGTTTACATCTAAAAACATAATAAATGGTTTGTTGGTTACCATTGACTTGATGTATCTATGCAAAATCATACTTCATGATGAATTATTACTATTGTAAATCTCTACTATGAATAAATAATTATTTTGAATGACAATCAACTGTAGAGAAAACAAAACTATGTTGAGACTTTTGACTTTTAATCATTAGATATAAACCATTCGAAAAAGTATTATTATATTTCCATACATATGTTTCATACAGTGCAGATTATGGTATCAATGAATAGAGAACAGTATTTCTTTTTCCTTTTAAATAAAATTCCTCCGGATACCTTTCGAATGCCCTGCATAGGTTCTTTTTTGTTGTTCTTGTTTTAGTTGGAGAAGAGGATGAAGTATCGATAAAAGAAGCAGCTGAAGCTGTAGTTAAAGCGATGGATTTTCAAGGTGAAGTTAAAGTAAATATACATGAAATGAATACAAATATAAATCAAATATATAAGTAATTTAGTACGATACAACCAGAGCTGATGGTCAATTTAAGAAAACTGCAAGTAATAAAAAATTACGTAGTTATTTACCAGATTTTAAATTTACACCATTTGAAGAAGGTTTGTTTAGCTTTTATTTATATTATTAATTGTTTGGTTCTTTTTTCGTAGCTATCAAATATACTTGTGATTGGTTTGTAAAAAACTATGAGAAAGCTCGAAAATAATACATATATATTTATATTTATAATCTCATTATTTTCTTTCTTTTTTTTTTTTTTATTGAACGTAACATTTTAACTTCATTGATTTATATAATTGGCTAAGTAGAAATTTGACAAATAAATACAGTTATATCGATATTTATATTCGTTTTTTACTAAAATAGCGATTTTAGAATTGATTTTGAATTATATTCAGATAGATCGAAAAAAAACGATTATTATCATTAAATTTTTCTATTAAAACAAAAATATATGATAACATAATTAACTCTTGACTCTTCCTAATAATTTCAAAACAGGTGCGGATGAAAACAAATATGAGAATTGAATATAGGTGTTTCTAATATATTGATAGTATGAAAGGATCGATCAGGCACTCTCTTATTTATGGCAGCAATTTTGCGTCAAAAAAGCAGTTTGAACTTGGATACAAGAATTCGATAATTGGGATTTTGCTAGTACTGATCGCAGCCGAGCAGAGCTACTCTGTATCTTTTGACCTAAGGTGGTTACTCTAACGAACGTTGGAGAATAGAGTCCGTTGGATCCAAAATTTTCGGACTCGATCGAGCTCATGTCGGGAAGGTGGGTTTAGTTCGATGAAAAACTAGAATAGAAAACTGTGATTTTCTTGAATATTCGTTTTTCAGTTCAATACAAGACATGTTTTTTTTTCTGTGGCAGTAATCAACAGATGATATAAGATGAAATGTATAGACTAGACCTGAAAATTTTATAGTAGAATGAATTAAAAAAGGAAGATTTTAGTATCCTCCTTGATGTAACGCAAACACTTATATTATTTGTTCACTAAACGCGCTAAATGTTAAGCATAATGATCATGCTGAAGAAATCTGAATCTCATACAATATCACAAGATAATATTGAAAGACATTCAAACATTAGTCTATTGTATTGGATATATACTATTCTAATAATAATTTCAACTCTTATGTATATAATATGTTTATTTTCATCGGAAACATGGTTTATAATTAAACAAGATAATAATAATGAAACGATGATCTATTTTCAATCGAAAAATGTTTGTCTTAATGAAAAAAATAATAAATTTTGTATTGAACCATATTTACCAATAGATCAATGTGATGAACATAATTTCACTCAATGGACAATTCGCTGTTCTAGACAATATTTTATTTTTTTCAATAAAACATCATTGAATATATGTAATTGTTTTCAAATTCAATTAACTAATATAATATATCGAAATAATATTTTTATATTCATTCTTCTTATATTAACAAGTCTCATAACATTTAGTAAATTTTGTTCATCAAACGAATGTATTTTATATTATTTAAATAAGTATCTTCTTTTGATTTTCCTTCTAACAATAATTTGTTTTGAATTTTATTCTGTTTACATTATATTTAATGATAAGAAATTTATTGAAAAACTTTATAAAAATTATTTTTCAATGATTCATATATATTCAACTATATTGTATTCATTTCAAATATTGATTATCATTATTCATATTATTTCAATAATACTACTTCTTCATGTTTGATGTGTTTATATTGAAATGAAAAAAAAAACAAACAAAGAAAATTTCATCTAAGTTTCTTATATGACGACGCATAGAAAAAAAAAAGAAGAAAAAATAAATAAATAAAAGAAATTTTTCTTTGAACAAATTAATTTTAAAAAAATGAAACAAACTTCACACAATTAAGACAAAAAAGAACAAAAAAAAAAGTTATTTTTGTCAAAGAAAGAAGTTAAAATTAAAAGACGATTTACCTAAAAATAATTAAAAAAGAGAAATGTTAAAAACTCAGATCATTTTTCTTTTCTTTTTGTTGTACGAAAGGAGCGCCAAAGTCTGGTATAATATAAATACATTATTGCTAATAGACAGGACAAAACATACATATGAACTGTGACTAAACAAAACGAGAAACAAAGACATAACAAAAACTGTTCATTAGCAGCAATGGCAAATCTCAGGAAGGTTTAGAGTCATAGTAAGAATAATAGTAGCAGCACCAATACGAAAAAAAATGTGAACGAATACGCTTGTGCATATAAAAACGCGAGAAAAATTATATTATTAAAAAATAATTATCGTTGTGTGGATAGAACACGAAGCATTAATAATTGTCTTTCGCCATCTTTCTCACCAATGGCAACAACTGTTCGATTATGTGCAGCCATATGTATATCAAGTGGTGTCATATTAACAGGCATTGTTGATGCTAATTGACCTGATAGTATACGCCATAAACATATATTTTGATCTCTTGAACCAGTGGTCACTAATTGATTTGTTGATACACATACACAAGTTATCTGAAAGTAAATTAAATCATTAAAATATTTCTTAAGAAAATCTTTCTTTATTGTTTTTTAATTACTTCTCGGCTATGTCCAACTAATCGTGAAACAAGTTCTTTTGAATTTGAATTCCAAACTTTTGCCGTCGCATCTGCACTTGATGTCACAAAATATGAACGATCAGGTGATAATTTTATATCTGTAATTCTATCTCTATGTGCGTTTTGCCCATTATCATTTAATACACCTAAACGTTGACATGATGGTATACTCCAAAGAATAACTTGTCCATTTCGTGTTCCTGTTAACATTTGTTCATTATTTAAAACAAGTGAACATTTTGGATCCGAATCGATTGTTATCATTGGTGGTTGAACTAATTCGTGTTGTGTTGTTATATCAAAAACAACATAATTTGTTGATGCTCCCATTGGACAACCAACAATAGCATAACGTTCATCAGATGTTAAAGCTATAAATGTTGGTGTACCACCATATGATTGATTTGTATCTGATTTAATTTCTTTTATTAATTCTGAATTATTTAAATCAAGTATACCAACAGATATTCCACGTCCATATTTTTGATTACCAGCCATAACAAGATTATTTGAATCATTAGTTAATGTAAATGTAGCACATTTTATTTGATGTGTTAACTGAACCGGTTTTCCTGTGTTAACATCCCAAATCTAAAAGAAAAAAAACCAAACAAAAAGTTTTAAAAATTAATTTGATAACTGTTCTTTTTCTCTTTTAAGCTTACTTGAAGTATATTTGTTTGAGTATCAATACCATCACTTGCTAAACCAACAAGAAGTGTTCCATTACATGCTAATCCAACTTTAATACAATTGGTACTTGTTCCATGCATGCTTGAAACCAATTGTCCATTCTAAGAGGCAAAAAAATACATTATACAAAGAAAAACAAATAATAAGACTATTATTTGTCATCTTACCAAAGCATCCCATATTTGTGGTGGTCCTTGACTTTGTCCAACAATAGCATATTTTCCATTGGGTGTCATACTAATTGAAGTAATATTACTTAATTCATAATCTGTTTGTAAACCACCATCAGCAAACATAGCATTCATTGAATAACCAGCAGCACCACCAGCAACACCTTCCCATGATTCGACCGTATCTCGATATCCTTCAGTTACCCCACCATGAACATAACCAAAATCTGCTACTGGTGGTGCATGATAATCGGTTTCAATGATATGCTCTATAAAAAAAACACAACAGCCAAATGAGTATTAATGAAATTAAAATAAAATAATTCATGCAAACAAAAAAATTAAATAATAAAATAGCCCAATCAATATCATGCATATTCCTACGTTGTGAATAGCTTGAAGATGTTTGTTGTTGCTGATTATCACGTGCAAAGTCACCATAACGTGATGACATTGTTGGATAATTAGTAAAAATACCAGTAGCGGTATCCATACCACTATATTCTCTAACAACTTCTGTAATGGGATCACTTTCAAACATGTACTATTCTAATACAAGTTCGACTTTTTTACTTACCACGTGTTTGTTCAATTCGTGTTGTTTCCATTTCATCGGCTGCTGCAGCTAAATTATTAACTTCAATATCTATCGGAATAGTCTTTGCCGAAGGAACTATAATACATGTAAAAATAGTGTAAAAAAAAACTAATTTTTATGATTATTTTACCACCTGGTTGTGTTGTAATGCGGCTGACTGGTACTGATATAGGGCGTGCGGGTGGTATACAACCACCACCTGTACATTGACGTGCTGCAAATGCAAGTGCAAGTGGCAGTAAAAGTAAACCACTAACAAGTGCTAATATCCAACCAATTGGGCCAAGACGAGGACCACCTACACGGCCATAATCAATTAATTTACCAGTTTTTGCTAATATAGGCTGTGGAGCTCGAAGTGTTTTTGTTGTCGTTGTTGTTGTTATAATGGTTGTTGTTATGATTGGAGTTGTTGTACCTATTATTTCAAATGTAAAATAAATTTTTTGTTTCGTTTTTTTAAGAAAAAAAAAGTGTTTTATCGTACTTGAAATCTCACAATAAGGTCCTGTATACTCTTCGTAACATATACAACGACCTTCATGACATGTACCATGATAACAATTAATATTAGCACAAAGATCAGCTGTAATAGAAATTGTAAATCATTTTTTATTGTTCTTTTTCTGTTTTTGAATGAATAAACTTACGTGGAACTTCACAAGTTGGTCCTGTGTAGCCTGTATAACATATACAAGCACCTTCACGACACTGTCCGTAACCACAATAAACATTTTCGCATGGATTAGCTGGAGGATCTAAAATAATAATTCAATTAATAATCAGGTTTTTTTTAATAATTCTATTTTGAATATTATTTCATACATTCTCGACAATCATCGCCATAATATGGAGATGGACAAACACAACGTCTAGAAACACCTTCCGGTATACATTGACCATGGTTTGCACATGGATATAATACACAAATATCATCTATAAATAAAAACTACACTAAAAAAAACAAAATTCTTCTAATTAAAAACAACCTTCACAATGACTTCCGGTGCGACCAGTTGGGCATATACAACGAGCTAAACCGTGATCAGTTTTACAGCTACCTCCATAACAATCGTAATGTGAACATGGATCTATCAGAATATGGAAAATAAAAATAGACGATTAGATATCAAGTTAAAATTAAAATAAAGAAACTAAAATTTTTTAAATAATTATCTAAAAGCATCAGCAATATATATTCATGCAATAAATAAAATACAAAAAACTTGAAAGTAAAGTTGATTCTAAATTAAAGGAAAAAAAATAATAATTCGTTGATATGCATCGTTATTATTATTATTATATCAATGTGAGTCGAAAAAAAAAAAGAAAAAAGTTGATGTTTTAAGTATTCAGAATTACGAATACTATAAAAACAATATTGAACGGAACGAACGAAAAATGAATCTGACTGGTATATTGAAGCCTTATTAACAAACGTTCTTTATTCTTTATTTTTCTCATATGTTTATTGAAAGCGCACGTCAAATGTCTACTTATAAAAGAACCAACCACTCCTATTTCATCTAAATATAGAGCACTCTCATAATCAGACAAACATTCATAATAAGGTGTCCTATCATGCTGATAAATCATACAGTCTATTATTGTGATTGATATTAGGACAAACGTCTATTCGAAAAACAATACAAACGGAGAAAAAAATAAAACAAAAAATCAACATGCATTTGTTTTTTTTTGTCTAATACGAAAAAAAAACTACTTTGCATGATAAATCTTATCACATACCATCTATTTCATAACAATTCGTTCCTCGATAACCAAGTGTACATTGACACACTGGTCGATTTTCTTGTGTACGACATAAACCTCCATTATGACATACAAAATTTGAACATGGATCTATTTGTCGATCACATGCTGAACCTTCATAACCTTGATGACATTGACATCTGTATGATGTCCCTTCACTAATGCATGTACCATAATTGCATGATATTCGAGTACATGCATCTTTGGAGACAAAGAAAGAATGAATTATTTAGCAAACAAAAAAAATAATAAGCCGCTAACTCTATGAATTCTAGCTATTTTCTTTTGCTATAAATAAACTAAAAAAGCAAATATAACTACGACGCAAATAATCGAATCCAGTCACGACTATATTTAACTCACCCAAAGGTGTAAGGCAGTCACGGCCTGAATAACCTTGATGGCATTGGCAAACAACTATACTACGCACGACTTTACATCGTCCATAGTTACAATTGACTTGGGCACAAGGATCTAGATTAAATTTATATTTTTTTTCGCTTCCTATATGGGATCAAGTTTAATTTTTCTGTATAATTATTTATTTCATTATAATATTTATAATATAGTTTTTTTTTTCTTTCTTGTCCTTTCTTTTTAACACATATCAATGATCACACATCTTACCCATTATGCAAATTGAAGGGTAGTGACCAGTTCAATTAGAATGAGAAGGAGAATGCACATTTACATACACATTTGTCCACCTGAGCGTGCGTGCAACTCATGTGTGCATAAGCGCGATCTTTTTCTACTCTAACGGTATGTATATGTATATAGATTCATGTTCAATCAAAAAAAATTTGCATAATGTTCCTTTTTCATATGTATACACAGCATGGTGCAATATGATGTAAAAAATTGACGACGACAATCTATTACCTTGAATATAGTGTTGAATTATATCCTTTGAAGAAGAGTGCAATGACAGAGTAGGGAAAAAAAGTATCCGAATAAGTGATGATCGCTTAGTAAAGATAAACATTTGTCTAAGAATTATGCAAGAGTCGCGCAATCATATCTTATTTTGGTGTTGATCAATCATTCTTATCGTTCTGTTAATCCACTTATGAACTCGTTTAGCATTAAGTGGCATCCAATAGGCAATTATTACTCTACTCTATAGAAAGACTAAACATACGCCTGTCTTTGTTTGCATTCTATCATAATGAAGGAAATGTTGTTATCGATCTATTCAATCTTAATGTTGTTTTCTTTTGAAATTTTTTCTTCTTAGTTCAATAACATACATGCATTCTATCAATGAAACAACCAAAAAAAAGAAAGACAACAAATTTTACAAAGACTGATTGATGTCTGTCTTCGAAGGTATGCCAATAAAAAAATGTCTCAATTTTCGTATCGTTATTCACTAATGGAAGTTGATTGTTAGTACTTATTGCATCACTCATGAATAAGTAAAAGAAAAGTAAAACTACTAATACTACAACAATATCTACTTCTACTAAATATATACATGCACCGGGTTTTTTTTTGTTGTTGTAACATACCAATTTGAGTGTCACATCGTGGACCACCATAACCTTCATAGCATGAACAATACGGTTGACTAGTACGATCCTTTTGACAACTTCCATGATTACATAGATAATTTGAACATGGATCAACTTTTTTTAAAAAAAAAAGCGAAAAGCAAAAAAAAAAAAAGTTAACTAAAATAGATGAAAGACGAAGAAAAAAAATATCCTTGACTTAAATTAGCTTTCTTTCACATGCACATACAACTTTTTTTGTTTGCATAGTTACCTTGATGTATAGAAGAGCAGAAAAAAGAGCAAGTGATAATGTCATTGAAGGGACATATAATCCTCCTCACTCACATATATAAATATATAGACAATGCACAGTCTGATTTATTTATTTCTCAAGGTTCTACCATCAGCTTCGACATCATTATCACGTTGATGACAAATGGCACACGCTCAGCATGTATTATAAATGGCTGAAAGAAAAAAAAACCGAGAACTGTTTACCTGATTGTTCACAGCGATATCCGGTATATTGTGAAGGACAATGACAATAAGCTAAAGATGTTGGAGATGCTGGTTGAATACAATAACCACCATTAAGACATTGGATTCGCTCACAAGGTGTCCCTAAAGAAAGAACATATTTCTATATATACATATATATAATGAACTATGTAGAGCTTATGTTCATTGGAAGAATAATAAATTGGGGGCGGAAGAAATAATGTGAAAAAAATTATTAAACTTACAACAGCCAAAGTAACATGGCATGGAACCGCCCGAACGTGTTTCATATTGGGATGATGGCGGAGGAGCAGCCTCCGCTATAGTGGTAATCAATAGTAATGAAATGAAGAATTTCATTGTATATAATAATGAATAATAATACAAAAATGGTGAAAAAGAAGCGTGTCACTCTTATATCGATGAATGCACGGATGGATGAATCACATCATTATAAGCGACGACTAATATTGAATGTTTCTTTTCTTTTTTCTTCTTTTTTGTATTCTCTGTTGGTTTTAGCAAGGTCGATGAGTAATGTATAACTGTTGATGTTAGTAACTGTATGTATCTCAAGAATGAAACAATGACAATGAAGATAGAAATCGATGAAAGTCGAAGATAGAGATATAGACCGAAAAGAATTAGGAGAAACAAGGTCTTTTACTAATAATAATTCAGTTTATGTAAGGAAATGTGTCGATTGATCACAATGCATATCGTTTCAAACTTGTCTTTTACCTCTTCCAACTTCTCTCAATGTAATAGCAATAGAAACACGAGAAGAAATGAGAGACAGACAGAAAAAAAAAGAAAGGAATGGTATAAGATGCAAACAAACACCAAACCACAAACTAACAATGACGACGACGATGGCATAGAAGAGAGAAAAAAAGCGAGATATATAAATATACCAAGAAAAAATCAACTATGTATGAATAATCAAGAAAGGCACGATATGAAAGTAGAACGGTTAGTAATATCTTGTATTAGAAAGAACAAAAACGTCAACAAGGCGATGGAAGATACTATATTATCATCATCTCAACTATTTTCTCCCTCTCTTCTTCTATCACTACTGGCAATGCTGAAACCGCAAGTTGTTGTCCCGATTGTCGTCCTCTTACGATTTTTTTTTCTATTCTTCTTGATATATGTTGACTATGGATGAATGTATGCTCACGCACACGTACAAACGTAAAGAAGAAAGAGAGACTAAAGAAACAGAAAAAAAAAGCTTCTTATTAACATTAAAAAAATGTGCACGAAATACGCAAAGAACGATCACATTAATATATATTTGCTCGCGTTTGCGTTATTCGAAGTAGGACGTTCGTAATATTGTTTGATGCAAAAGAAGATACAACGAAAAAAAAAAAGTCGAAATACAAGCATTATTCAAAAAAAATGCAAGATTTAATGGGAACTTGTATCGAGAAAAAAAACCAAAGAACTCGTCTAAATGCGCATTCATAAGCATTTGCAGTCTCGTCATTTTTTCCCTTTCTCTCTCTTTCTCTTTCTCATAAAAAAATTGTTTTTTACGTCAACTTTGTTGACATTGTTGTAGCCACATCTATTCGAATCAAAAATTCAAGGTGACATTTTTTCTTCTATAGATTCAATCTCAAATACACGATTCATTAAAAAAAAACGATGTTCTGCAAACACCTGTGTCAATATAAGTAGATGCTTATCGAGAGATGAAGATGGAAAAAAAAGAAAAAGAATTCTTTTTTTTTTCTCTTTTGTGTTTAATATCTCGTGTTATAAAATGTATATCAATTAAACTTACGTTCAGGTATATTTGCATGATTATTCCAAAGAACACTTGGATCATAATCAATTAATCCCGGATTACGTATAGAGTTATGTATTAAATTCTCATGATGATTATCTGCCATGAATATAATCTATTATAATATTAAAATGTTGATTTTCTTTTTGCAAAACATTTTTTTACTTATGTTTACTTACATCTTGAACATAACCAATAAAATTTTTTCCACATAAGTAAATTTTTCTATCACCAAATAAACTAAAATATTCAATAAAATATGTATAATGCCTCGTTTCATCATCAAATGTTAAATCAATCTAAAGATAAAAAGAAACGGAATTAATTATTAATATAAAAGAAAATACAAGCCAACATACGGTGTTTATTGTTTTTTGACATTGTAAAACATGCCATTGATCACCCCTGACACGTCCAGGAAAATCATATGTATAAATGATTCCACCATTTCGAATAATTAAACGTGGATAATAATTCTAAATTTTGATGATATTTAATTAAAAAAGACACATGTGTTTTTTTTTTCTAAATTGTATTTACCTGAATGACAATTGATACTTGTATAGAACCATTTTCTGTTGTAAATAAAACTGAATTATCTGATATTGTAAATATCATTAAATAAATTTGTTCATATTGTCCTGATTCAATTTGAGTAAAATATCGAAGTGAACCTTTATTATTCATATGAATTAATGATGATGACGATAATGATGATGTACAAACTAGTGAACAATCAGTTTGACCACAAAATTGTAAAGGTTGAATACTATTACAAGGCATTTGTCTATCACATATTGAACCTTGATCACAAAAACAATCATAACGATCAGATTTCACAATGCCTTCAGGTAATAATGGATGATGATTATATGTTATATTAGCAAAACATCCAACAAATAAATTATCAGATACAATACGATCTGATCCGCCAATAGTTATAACATCAAAAAATAACGATAAAGATGAAAGATTAGATATATTTGTTGTACGATTATCTATTTTTATATACATATTTTTATTTGAAAATTGACGAAAAATTAAAATATAATGTTCCTGTCCATCATTAATTGTTTCATTATCATTAAAAATTAATAATAAGGTCATATTATGTGATAAATAATAGTGTAATTGTAATTTTCCTTCCTTTAAAGAAAGTATAAGACCATAATTATCATCATTTGAATATATTGATGCTATGATACCATTTAATGATTGAGTTTTTATTGCTATTTGACATTCATAAAATTCATCATTCGATGGAATTTGAAGTTCAATTATATCATGATAATCCCGAATAGAAAAACTCACATCTGATGAAATATATGAAATAACATTTTTGGCTAGAACAGATTAAGAACACAAAAAATAAGATAACAATTAAATCTTTAACAGATCGATTTTGACACGCATAAAATGTCCGTGAAAATTTATATATTAGATCGACTAAGCTGGTGATTATATATAAATAGATTACGAAACATATATTATACTAGGTTACGATTTTTAATTTCTCAAGGGTAATTCCTTAAAATAACATAGTAGGAGCTCTTTTGAGTGGCAATTGACTTTAAAAAATGAATCATATGGAATGATTCATCACTTTTGAGAATATAGTGAGAAATCTTAAGATTTGAATAATTCTAAAAGAATTCGAATTAATAAATTTATTCTAAAAAGCGTATGATTATAAGAATACCGTGAAAGTCGTAGTCAAAACGATTGTTTTCTTTAGGAGATGTTCAAAGTTTGAAAAAACTGATTCAACTTCAGAAATTTGAATATTGAATATCTCAAAAAACAAGCAATCATTTTAAATTAAACTTCATTTCCTATCAAAAATGCTTTGTTTAATTATCCTGTCAATACTTTGAACTACAATAAAAATCTAACAAAACTATCGTAGCTCTGTAGAAAGAACGTTTGTATACCTCAAGCTTTTTTAGAGTTATTCTAATCTAGAGATCTCTACATATCTAAAATTTGTTAGCACAATCCCTGCGAGATAAAAAGGTAATACTCAATGCAGCTACTGTTTCTAATCATAGGGAAATGGTTCTATTAAATCTAGTTTTAGACAATTTTTTTTTCAACATCCTTTCACATTATCCTTAAGAAATGTACTAAAGAAGTATGTCATATAATATAATGACACATTATTGATATACAGTCTGTGATCATATATCATCAACGTCTGTCACGGTTTATGATAGACTCTGATTGACATCTGTCATAATTTACGGACGAGGATTAACCTCTATATGTCAACACTCCTTCTAGGATGTGTTTCAAAAAATCATGAGCTGAGAAATATTGAATCATTTCAAGCGTTTTCATAGTTTGTTGGTTTAATAATCCACCATTTCATGAGTGAATTTGACAGTATGAATTTTTATTAAAATCATATTGTAACGTATTCTTAATTCTAATGCCCTATTCATATGCACTTTTTTAGACAATTCAATTTTTGTTAAAATTGGTTAATCAAACTTTTAAAAGTTAGGTTGATCGATAGAGAATTCACTACACAATGTTGTTTTGTCTATTATGAATAAACAAAATAACTAAACATTTGAGCTCTCAAAATTAAATCAATATATTCTTGTCTTTTCAAATTGACGTATATTTAGCCGTACGCTAGGTTCATAAGGAAGATGATTTGTTAGTTTAATCATGCATAATCATCATTGAATATTAATCTAGTTCCTTGTTAACATGACAAATATGAGAAAATGTTCGAGTCCGATGAAGAGCAATTTGAATATGCAAAAAACTTGCCAATAAAATATGCTTCTTGATAGAAAGAGTTAGTTAAAAATCGAAGTTTTACTTCGAATCTAATTCTAAATTTGACTTTCGATTTCAATGAAGTGGACTTTGAATTTGATATAAATATGTTTCATTAGAAACTTACTTGAATTTTTAGTTAAATCCATCGGATACGAACTCGTTCAAATCGTACTTTACTATTCTCAATGAAATTCTTTTGATCCAAATTGGATAGTCGTCCCGAAGATATGATACAATTTTTCTCTAATTTTTTTTGGATTCATTGCCTAGGGCACCTTACATAAATTTTCAGACGACTAATGTCTATCGAATTCAGATCGGAAACTAGCTCTATGGACTATAATATTCAGCCAATACTGATACTTACAAGGGGGGGGGGGGGTCACAAGTGATAAACTGTTTTTAAGTTGAAGCTATATTTAATTGATAGGATCTAGTGAGTAAGTAAATACCCTCGAATGATTCGAGCTATTGGAGGATTTGTTGCTGAGATATTGAGTTTTTAGTGAATTTCTCCTGTAGAATCCTAGTTTTCAAGTGAAATTACACTTTTGAATTTTGGTCTAATAAAGCATAGATACTTTATCGTGATTATTGTAAAAAAATAAAGATAAATGAAAGATTGATAACTCTCGAAGATATTTGTTCAAAAGAATATGAATTGTTTTCTACACGCAAGTCCTATCGATGGTTTTATATTGATTTTTGTTTTACTATTCGAATAAACTCATTCAACAAAAGACTAATCCTAAAATTACAATGTTCATATGATCAATTCTAAGATAGTTTATGTCTGTATATTGTCGAAATGCAATTATAATAATTATAATTCATTCAATTAATATTTAACTTACGTTCACGTATAGTGTTTTGACAAGTACTTGCTAATCTATCTAACGGATAAATATGTTTTAATTCGATCAATGATTTTTTATTTAACATAACATTTTTTATACAACCAATAAAATCGTCTCCATTGAAATTTGATAATTGTTCTTTAATAAAATGATCTAATTTGCCAATATAAATCGTATTTATATAAAATATATCAAATACATTTTCTATTTTTGTATTTTCATCAAGTTCAAATAATAAATAATTTTGATTAATTAATTTTACGGTTATTTTATGTTCATTTTTATCATTAATTAAATTATTTATTGAAATTTCTATTGGTTGTCTTCGTTTATTATAATATGTTAAGAATAAATATTCATGACGAATACTTAATATAATAAAATTTTCATATGTACTATCAGCTAATGAACAAATAATACTATTGGATTCTTGTGTAGAAAAAAACAATGAAAACATATGAAATTCTTCAGGATAATCAAAAGTAATAATTAAAGGACGATCATTTTCTTTAAATGAAATAATTTGATCAATAGAAATATCGTATATGGATTTTATTGTAATATCATTCAAGAAACATTGTTGTCGATTTAATGATATATCTTCAAATGAGAATATTTCATTGTTATAAGTTACATTTTCTATACAACCAATAAATTGATTATGTAAACCAAATATAAAATTTTCAATGATTAAATATGATGTTGAAAATTGAATAGAAATTTTCTTATTTGTATTTATCCATGCTTTGAGAGTTTGATTATTTAGTTCTAATTGTACGAAATAAAGCTTTCCATCATTAATTGGTTTTTGTTTTTCATTTGAGAAAATTCTTTGTGCTGATTGATCTCGAATGACTAATGTTAGATAACCATCAATATCAATATTTAAATGAATTTCGCCAAATTGTATAAGTGTACTATGATTTGAATATGTACGAAATAAAAATGAAAATGTTTTAAAGAATGATTTGATTGGGGATGGAAATATGATTTCATTATTGTCATTTGGAAGAAAAGCAATCGTTTGAATTAATTCAGATTGATTTATAGCTAATGAAATTGTCGTTATTATAGAATCTTCAAAGTTCTCATCTGAAATATCTCCTTCACGAAGATTTAAAGATCGATTCGCATTAGACACTATAATCTAAATAATAGAAAACAAGTATTATTATTATAATATGTATAGTATGAACAAAACATTTAGCACAATTATATTTTTGAGGTATTTTGAAGAAATGGCCACTGACAAAACAAGACTCCAAAACAAAAAAAAAACTATTGTCATATGATTTTAAAATAAGATCCTATAATAGAACCAATATTTCTAAGTGAAATATGAGACGTCTGTGAGCTTTGCATAATCTTTCCTCACTAAACTGCATTCAATCTACAGAGAGTTTTGAAACTTTTCGTTGATCAATTGTATAGAAAAGTTTATATAGAATATCCGCATGTTTCATTTTGTTTAAAAATATTAGCTCTATAATATAAAATGATTTTCAAAACATTTCATATCAAATACAACAAGATACACTTCGAGAGTGTTGCTTTTCAAAAATCGTTTCCACCTAACTGAAATACATAAAACTAAAAGTTGATAGTGGCACATTCTCAAAAGCATGATGAACTTCATCGATTTCTCTTCGGTAATTTTTGACGGTCTTTTAGATTCTTGCCGATTTACTACTATACTGATCTCGCAAAGGTATTGAAAAGCATTCGTAGTATAACGTATGGCTAGCGTCCGTAGACTAAATTCGACTTGCATTTTCTGTTCACAACGATATATACTTCATCTTGGACAAAATTATTTTTATTCTAATCTTTACAAGTATAGACATTTATCTGAAAATATGTACAACAGAACTTCAAAGAGTATAAAAAATCGCTTAAACTGTTTAAGTGCTATTCATGTAAACTTTTCGCACAGACTTTCGGGACAGCTTGCATTACAATTACTCTTTTATGGTAAAAATCATATGAACACTTATTCACTTTTAATAGAACAATTGATGAATCTATCAACTCATCGTTTTATTGTTGACCATTGTGCACTCACATCTGTATTGAGTGAATTAAATGCATTTATATGAATTTTATCTTCACATGTAATTTTAATAATGTTGCAGAATCTGTTTGTTATGTATATTATGACAGAATTCGATACAAGTAATTATCAAAAAGGAATTAAATATAGATCTAAGAATTTAGATTGTAATCCCAATCGTCTACAACAATCTTATTAACATTAGTTCGAAACCCTTCCTCAATTTTCCTATAGAAAAGAGCATTGCATTTTTTGAAAAGACTATAGTTACTTAAATTATTTGTAATTTAATTTTCACATTGTTTAAACTACAATAAAAAGAACTTACATCATCAATTTTACCATTATAATTACTATCGGGTACAATTGTTAATTGTGCTCCAATGAAAATATTTGTTCTTTCTTGCCATTTATCAGACAGTTCATTATCTGATTGTTCAACATTATCAAGAGTATATCGCAACTACAAAAAAAAACAAATATTTCTGTTTGACATATTAAAATTATTTTGGAAAAATGAACATCTTAATAGAATAAAATATCAAACCTTTCTATTTGATCGTTCAATATATAATCGATGCCATTGTCCATTATTAATTAAATTTGTATCATTTTTTGTTGTTAATACTACCTCAGGTAGATTATCTTGTGAAAAAGTAAATTTCAATCGACCATTCTAAAAATTAGTCGCATGAAAAACAAAAAACCTTTTTTTTTTAATATTTAAAACAAAACAAACTTCAATATTAAATGCATAACTAATATTCTCATTGGCAATACCAGCAAGAATAGTTATTGTTTTTGATATTTGTTGATTTGTAAGAATAGAAAAAGCAATTGATTCAATTGATGTATAATCTTCTTCAGCAGTAATATATTTCTTAGGTATGTCAATTGTTGATGAATATTCAATAATCGTCTCGGGTATAAAATTACTGCTATTGAATGAATCTTCTGTAAGAGCATTGTCTAAACAATCATAAAATATAAACAATGAAAGAACAGACTAATTTTCATCCATTAACATAAAGAATGAATATTCAATCTTCTACTTGCACTCTTGATTAAGAACAAACATAAGCGAGTCATTATTTTAACTTCTCTATAAATATCTGATTTTAAGAGCTTACCGAGAGTTAACGTAGCATTCGACGATAAGATATCGGTATTATTAATATCATTGTATAAAATTCTCAAATATTGTTCATGTTGACATAAATATGATTTAATAAAAATTAAGATTGAAATAATACATAAAATTCTTTGTGTAAATTTCATTTTGTTTTAATCAGATAAACTTAAAGATGACAATTGTATTTAGGGAAGTTGATATAAAACAATGAAGTGAAAGATGTGAAAGCTTCTATTAGAAGAAAGAAAAAATATAAATGTACATTTTATCTCTCTGTCTTGCTCTCACGCTGTCTCATTATTACTATGCTGGCTGTTCAATGACCATAATCCAAACATTAAGCGAATGAGAAGGAAAAGATTTTTCATCCTTTCATATATATATACTCATACTAGTTATATACTCTTTGGTCAACATTTCTTTTCTGTATCGTTCAATATATATATATATTTTAGTCAGTCATGATGAAGATGAATAGAGAGAATTTGAGTCAATTGTAAGTAACGCAGTATGAGAAAGGACAAAAGAAAATTTTCTCTTTGTGATTTCCAGTAAAAAAAACATAACATCAAATTATTTCAACGTCACTTTTGAAAAGGCAATGAACTATTGTAATTGTTTTGATGGTCAATAGCATAATATCGATTAATGTCTGTCTTCTATTGTGCATGAACAATATACTGAATGTATATTTATGCATAGGCAGAATTAGTTGTCGCTGACTGATGAATACTTTGAGTTGTCTATTCGATCAAAAAATGAAAAACAAAAAAAAAGAAGTAAACTATTCCAATCACACATACTAGGTAATGGTTGATGAAAGCCTATGTTCTGTATTAACTTTAATCCCTCTCTTTTTTTTTCGGTTGTACATACAATAACCTTTTTCGACGTTGTACGCATTTTTATACAATTACATATGTATTTAGTTCGAATGCAGTATATTCATATGTCGCATGATTAAGATAAAATTAAATCATAATGTAAGCTTTATGTATATGTCCCTACAGCACACGATCAATTATCTTTTGTCGAAAAAAAAAAGGAATATAAACATATTGAACAAATTACATTAAATAACTACTAAATTCTCGATTTTTCTATTAAGATATTATATTATGTAAGAAGGCTCAGAAGAATAAAACTCCTTGATGATACAAATCATTATTAATAACAAGCAAAATACATCAACCAAAAAAATATATACAATGTGTGATCTAAGAAGTTGACTAAATAAATAATCTTCTTTCTTCTTAAGTGAACAATGCGTCTCATTAGGCCCTTTCTTTATAGAATCTCATACGGCAAACAAAAACACATATTCATCTGTTAATTGATATTGCTAAAAGAATATCGAATAGCACAATCAATACAATATACACTTAAGTATATAACAATTATTTTCTAATAGTATTCAAAGTAATTTCATATTTAAATAAAAATACTTCCATAAATATGTTATTAATAGATTTGACTATTGAAAATAATTAATATAAATTATGTAATATTCTTAAGAATTACATAGTTGATCATCTTTTATAGATTAATCGAAACATATTGTATACATCAATAGACTGTTATATTGATATTTACATTGTCATGCATTCAAACTATTTGTTGTACCTCGTTTTAGACAGTTTAATACTGCTTATGCATAACATTCGAATTAATGCTAAATTCTTTGCAATCAATAATATTATTCTCTTTCGAAAAAGAAATTTGAATATCAACCAATCGATTCTTCATAGAACCAAACTACTAAATAAATACAAAGACAAACTGATGTAACAAATGGATTTATATGTTTTAAATATAAATGATAGAAAAGAAAACGAAAATGATTTATTGAATTTCGTTTAAAAAAGGCCATAGTAGGACTTTTTGTGTGAACAGATATGTGAGCAAACATATTGAAGAATTTCATATCTTTCTTTTCTGTTATATTTGCATATTTGATATAGAGTTGAAAGAAAATGACACGAGTAGTTACTCCTACAACCATCGCTGTCTTATCGACCCCTCTCCCTGCCCAATATGCAATAATAACAGAAAAGACAGATATGGAGTTGTTCTGTGTACATGCCTCTGCATATGTACCCACACCAAATAAACCCGGTTGTAAGAAGACAGCATTGCTGCCGAAACGTTAATCAAAAATGGCCTATGTAAATGATTATTAATTGAAATTGCGGTAAAGAATCCTTGAATCCAATGAAAAGATAAAGAGACAATAATGATGATAGATTGAGAGCAAGAAATAATGGCATATTATAAGAAAATTCAGTTAGGTGTCGCACAAAAAATCATAGAACTAATGGTCAAAATGAAGAAAACTTTGAATTGATTACATTCATATGAAATGATGTATCATGCTTTCAATTTCATAAATAGTCAACTTTGTACAATAAAACGCAAACATGTTGAATGCTTAATAATCATTTGTGATATGAATCGATAGTGGAAAAAAAGATTATTATAATTAGAATTATCTAATTGAATATCACCAATATACGTTTTAATTCTATTGATTATACTTTGTTTCCTTTTATACATAAACCTTGTTTAATAATATTGAATAGTATCGCCAATTGAAATGATGATTTATTATTAATTGATGTGAAATTAAAATCAAGTCAAATACAAGTTTTTTTGTTTTGATAGAATATTGCAAATAAAAATGAAATGCTTTTTGTTTTACACTATAGTGAATGTAACTTTTAATTTTCAAAAGGTGATAATTAGTTCATTTATATTGTTCTACTTTCTGACACCTGTTAGTTTAAGTGTCTACCAATATTAATAATGGGAAAAGATTCGTCTATCAACAATTTGTTTTAACCAATGAAACTTTAGTATTGACATTAAATTGCTATTTGATTTTACTCTACAGACTAATTTATTAAGCAGCACTCAATCTACCTTGATATAATGTTAAGAAAGTATTAATTATTGAACTGTAATATTGAAATTTATCTATGTTTTTCATATTGTTTTCTTAATTTAAAGCATCTAAGCATTGGTATAGATGTGCTGAAAGATATTATAGGGAATAAGAGAAAACACCTTGTCATCAATTGTCAATGTCAACTACATGCATGTTGTGTTGATTATCATCAACAATGCATATAACCGATATCTTTATTCATCGAGAATAAAGTAAACAAATGAAAACATGTATTTTCAGACTGTTTTTTTTCCAAACACTTATCCTTGATAGACAAGACAGAAAGTTAGATTTATGATCTATTAGATAGTTTTATTTAGAAGAATATATTATCTTATTTCCAACGTCATAGTATAATTTACTATACAAAATGCATAACAAGGTTTAACTAAATGATATAATCAATCGATCATATATTCTCATAGAAAGAATGGCCTCCCAAATTGCTTCTCTGGAATAAAAAATGAGAATTGTTACTATATTTTCATGCAAGAAGTTCATTTCTTTGATCCATTGATCAAGTAACCTTCATGATTCATAAGAAACATGTCAAAAAATAAATTGCTATGAAATATTATCATTGACCTCAGTAAAGACCAATAACTATGAACAACTTCAAAATAATTATATCCCAACTTTCTAATGACGGCTTGTTGTCTACGACTGCAAATCTTTGTATATCTATATAATTTACTCCCTTTGAACATGTAAGATAAGTTTCAGATCACCTATCAAAATGTAAAGAGAAAAAAGAATAGTCGTCTTCTTTATATAACTCATCAACGATGACAATTCTTTTTTGAAGTCAATGGTCACACTTCAAAGTGAAATTTTTAATATATATCTTATCAATAAGGTCGTCATGGTTGACTGGTTAATTTATTCAATACGTATTCACAAGGTATTGTATTCAAGTCTTACTATTAACAACCATAAAATGACCCTAAGCAAGTCACAACGACTGTTTGTCTCGAATTATCATAAGTTGTGATATACACCTCCTGCTGTGGTTAGTTGTCGTGTATAAGAAGCTTAAGAACTCTGTAGCAGATCGAGCTTCTGTCCAGAGTTGCAGGTAGTTGTAGGAAAAATATTGAACAAATGAATTTTTCTTTTTAAAAAAAAAACTTATTATTCAATTTAATTTGTTCTGTACGAAATGCAGTTAAATTTAATTTTTGTTTCACACCTAACACCTTTTAAGTGTGAGTTATTAAATCAAGATATTTCATTTCAATGAAAGGAATGTAATCATTCATTTAAAGGTAAATGTGAAATTTAACAAAAAGAAAAAGCATATAATATATAATGATTAAATCTATCTAGTTTTCTCAGTAATTACAAGAAAAATATTGGCATGAGGAAAATTTTGCTGGTTTTTATATATAACTGTACATCAATAATGCCGATGCAACCAATAAAAGAAAAAAAAAATCAATAAATAAATTCTATAAAATAATACATCCTTTCTTTTTCTTTTGTTCATTTGTTAATTTATAATTATTTGGATTTGAATTTGGATTTGGTCTTGAATTTGGTTTTGTATACATATTCGTATTTGTATTTATATTCGTATTTGTATTTGTATTTGATAATGATGTGTTATCTGGTCTGTTACTTGGTTGACTTCGCATACCAGAATTTGAATGTATATTATGTTCAGTACTCATATTTCGTGTTTTGTTATGATGTGAAGTATTATTAGGTACACTTGTTCGTTGAGAAACTTTTCGATTATTTGTTGGTATAGTATGTGGTCTTTCTTGATTATATGTACCTAATAATTGATCACGATAAGGTGTGTCATGTTCACAATGAAAAACATTTTTTTGTTGACAAAGAGAACAACGAAAATCGTCCCGTACAGATGGTAAACCATGATATGTTGCCATTTATTTTGTAAATATGAATATTAATTAGAAGAAGAAAAATAAATCTAAAAATATTCTTTAACAAGAACATACTTGATAATCTTTCAGTGTTGTTAGTGGTGACAAAAAAGAAGACAAATGTTTACTATAATATCAGTGAACACTAGAGTATTATCGGACCATCTTTTTCAGACATACTTCACTTATGGATGAATAGCAATACTTGCTAGTCGATAATGTTCAATAGATGCGAAAGATTTTCTTTTTACTTATTCAATGAAATAAAGAGAAAAAAAAATTCTTTTTTATATTAATCTTGATACTATCATCAAGTAAATCATTAACTAAGATTTTAAAATAATAAAAGAAATCTTATTAGTTTTTTTGATGTTTGATATATGCATTTGTGTTTTACTGTTCAATTTTTAGACAATAGACAAGTATTCAATAGTCTGAATAAAATAAGTGTGTTATGGAATTTGTGCTGAATGAAAGACTCTCTTAAAAATTCATATGAATTCACTGAGCTTCTGTTTGATAGTATCATGCGAAACCCAAAAAGTTTCGTCCACTAGACATAGGTTTCGTAAAACACTTTTTTTTTTATGTAATGTACTTATAACAATTCTTCGCAGTATTACTCATAAAAACGCAATCATGAATAGGTTTCCTACTTACTAAATTCTTTTATATAGATTTATTTGTACTTCATTTGTTTTTATCCGCCAAATCATTGTATTAGTTACAACATTTGAACCTCGTTAAAAATTTTGCCTATTTATCCTATTGTTATATTATCATTGACCTGAGATACTTAAATATATGTTTTATTAAAGGATATGTAAATTTCTTTCAGGAGTCTGACAAAGTAAAATAGCGGATGGTTCAACAAGTGCAAATCCATTTGAGTAACGAGAATGAAACTAGAAAAAAAAATGATTTCAAACTAATTCTGTTTTGGAAGTGAAGAGTACGCAACTTTTCTCCCCTATAACTAAATCATTGATCTTTTAAACACTCACCGCTTCTGAATAAATGTAATGGCATATATTCATCTCTATTCGTTGATTTTTGATGTTATGAAAGAAAGAGAATAAAAGAATTGTAATGTTGAACGAACTTCTTTAACGTTTCTTTTGCGATATTTTTTTCTTTTTAATACACCCTTTTTTTTCTTTCATACGATGTTTAAATACGTAAATGTATGTGACACATGCTTTTTTCGCTCTTGGTCATGACATAAAAAAATTTGCTACCTTGACAACCGATCAACAATATGTTTAATAGTGAATCAATCAAAGAAAGAAAAACCAATTCAGACACATAACTACGTAGTTACGTTTACATTCACATAGAATTGATTAAATTCTTTTGTCATAAACTGAAAAATAAAGAAGATAAGATATAAATATGATGAAAATGTCTCGTTTGGATTTTTTTCCAACAATACGTTGCTATTATTTAAATTTGCTATTGGCAGATTATATTTCTTCAAAGTGCATATTTAATTTCATTTTCAATATTGGTAAAGTCTATTATATTTAAGATTCTTAAGTGTCATCTCTTATGAGAGTATTGTTAAGCATCGATCTTTGAAAACATTTGTTTATAGTTTTAAAACAAATGATACCAATCGATAGAGATCAAATTTTTAAATACCGAGTGTTGCGTGAAGAGTTCGTAGATTTCATATGTAACATTGCTTTTACGATTCGAAATAGCACTTCTGTGCTAAGCATTGTAATAAAAATAAATATAAATATGCATTGTCACTGACTAATTATGATAAAACAGATAGCAGAATAAAACTACCAATATTGACAATGAAAGAATCCTTCGGGACTTCAAGATAAAAGTGACAAAACTTAAAAAATGATTTCACTTAGAAGAGAGATTATTTTTTTTGCAGAAATGACTGTATTCTTTGAAGTGAACTTTCATCATCATATCACGCAACGCTAAAATTTATTCATTACTTTCATCGTATCAAGTTTTTGTGAATATGTGCATATGTCATCTTTGATCTTAATTTTAATCTGTCACAAGAGTGTGCCTAACAGGTGCATGTATATATAAATCTGTTTGTTCATCAATCACAATCGTGTCATTATTCTGCCATATTCAACTTCCGGTAAAAAAAATGTATATTTATTATCATCAAAGCACTTACGAGGGAACGTCCCTAACTGTCAAATCGCTTTTTGATCGAGTATATGCTCAAACGATAGACCTTAATGAGCTATTAAAGACCCTAGAATGGCTTGGTGTTCCAGCTTATTGTTGTCGAGTTATGGACCTTTTACTTGATTTTGGCTTATGGGCATAAGATTCTTCTGAATATCTGAATGATCAAATTTCAAACTGAAACTTTGCCCATAGATAGGCCTTATAAGCACTAGAAACTCCCCCTAAGCTTGAACCAGAATGAATGTATCCTTATCGAGATATTCACATTTTAGAGCTACGTCTGTTTTGAGCTGTGTTTCAAAATAGAGACATTTTCACGACAAGCTGATATCTCGATAAGGATGCGTTCGTTCTGGCTCAAACTTTGGGGAGTTTCTAGTGCTAATAAGGCCTATCTATGGGCAAAATTTCAGTTTGAAATTCGATCATTCAGATATTCAGAAGAATCTGATGCCCATAAACCAAAATCAAGTAAAAGGCCCATAAGTAGACAACAAAACACTGGAAAGCCAAACCATTGTAGGACATTTAATAACTCACTGAGATCTATCGTTTGAGCACATGCCCGATCCAAAAGCGATTTGACAGTTGAGGACGTTCTCTCGTTAGCATAATTTATCTCTTTTGACTTTATCATAATATTGAATTGAAAATCAAATAGATAATTATTATTATTATGAAAGAAAGACAAAGTTGTACTTGAGAAATTGCTCAACATCTTCTTGATATTACTGGGAACATTGATCAAAATCAATCGAATTCCTGTATATCTAAATGTTTTACTGTTTTGATTTGTTCATTAATGTATTATTATAATTTTTCATATATATTCTAAATAAATAAATCAATAGATTTATATGATAAAAATCAAAAATGTTATCTTCCTATTTCGATATACGTAAAACTAAACAGATTTCATTATATTATCAGTAAAAGAAGAAGAAAAAGAAAAAAAGTACAGGTAAAAATAAGTACTAATCTTCTATTTGCATACGAAGACCAACAAAGGACAAGTTACATTGTTTGTACTCGTTTGTTTTTTCAACTAGACATTATCAAAACAAGTCTAATGTGTTTTTCTTTTCTATTACTTTTATTAAAAATCATTCCAATTAGCACCATCTTTTATCTTAAAAAAAATAAAGGCTTTGAGCACTATTAATATGGCTGAAAGATAAGCAAATGATGCTATCAGTTGAGTCATATATATCTATATAGCCATGTGCGTTCAAAATCAAAAAGTAAATAAAAGGTAAACATTTCATATTTTTATTATTTTTAGATATTAATAGTCATAAATAATTATATAACTATGGCAAGTTCACCTCCATTATCCGTTAAAAGTGAACCAGCAGATATTTTAATTAATGTTAATGAACCAAATTCATCCTATACATCAGCGTACGATACATCACTTGACAATTCTTTAATAGATCAAATAGAACCAACATCACCATCGATTGGTATTGATGCACCAATAATATCATCAAATGAGACATCATTTGATCTTTTACAAGGGTATTCAGCACCAACACTCCCTGTTTATATTAATATGGGTTTAAATGAACATCCTGATGATGTAAATTTTGTTGGACCTATAACAACACTTGATCAACCTTTATCACGTTCATTAGCAGCTATTGATGTTGATCAACAAATACCTCAAACAACAATTCAAAGACATAGTCATCATCATCATCATCATTTTCCACATCATCAACAAAATCGAAATCGTTATCCATATTTACAAAGACCAATTATGCCGAGAGGATCTAATCGAACACAAATTCCAGCACATAGTTTTGATAATTTATATCTTTATGAACAACGACCTGCTTTTCGACGTTCTTATTTTGCTTTAAGACGACAAAGAATACCGAAAGGTTTTGTTTTTGAATTCATAAATAAACTAATATTTAAAATATTCGTATTTTTTTTCTCGTAGCTCCGCCAATGCCAAAACATTTATTTCCTGGTTATAAACAAAGTAGAACAGAAAGATCAACAATGGAAGGTACCGGAAGTGAAAACGAAAATGTAGATGAAGATGAAGAAGGTAAATTTTCTTTTTTTTTTTTGAAAATATCATTTAATGTCGTGTGGTATTCGATCGTTGAGTAAATATCTTAACTGAGAATTTATATGATAAAAATCATTTTCTGGCTCGAAATTTTCAAGTTCAATTATATCTGTATGTAAACGATCAACATCTGTAATCATAACTGTTGGTAAAGGTATTGTCTTTATTGATGATTGTGATGATAAATATGTTGTATTTGTAATTTGACTTAAATTTGTATTTGTTGAAGTTTGAGATAATTGACGTTTTAAATTAAATTGATCAATTGACGATGAAGAATTATTTAATGGAATGATTAATGAAGGTCGTCGAATTTTTTGATGAATGTTTGTTTTCAATGAAGATAATGTTGATTGAGAATAAGAAAATTTTTGACATGATTGATAATAGAAAAGTGATGTACTAAGATTACTCGATGATGTTAATATTGATTGATTGTAAGATAGATTAGAAATTGCTGCTGTATTTGACAATGTTAATTCATATTGTTCTGTGGATATTCGTTGACATGATGGAATAAAATTTGTTTGTTCATGAACAATTTTCGATTGTTCCGTATCAAATGAAGCTGTTGTATAAATACTTGTTTGTTCATCATCAATTTGATCACAATCAATCATATGATCTTCTTTGAATGCGTTTTCAATGGGTAATAATAATGATGATGGTAATTTTGATGCATAATTATAATAAAGATATTTTAAATATGTCTTCCTTTTTAAATGTCGATATGTTTGAATGGATAGAAATATAAATCCAATAATCAACCAAAGAAAACATATTGAGCCAAATATAATAAAAAGACGTTTAAATAAAACTAATTGATCTGTTGTATTGGTTGACATTGTCAATATAGAGAATCATCATTTTAATTAAAAAAACGAAAAGAAAAAGAATTACGAGAATTATGGATCAATCGCTTCAAGATATTGATTGAAGAATTACGATTTATTTTTTTCGGATAGTGTCTCGTTAAATGTAAATGTGCTTGTCTATCGCTGTTATAATTCCTTTTTTCTCTATGTGCTTTATATTCTATCTTCTTGTTCTTGGGTGGAGAGGGAGAAAAAGAATCTTTTGTTCTAGATGGATGTGAGTAAGGAAACGGAAGGAAAAATTAGTAGTCGGGCACGCATTGAATAGAATGAAGCGCTTATAATCATCCGGACTATCGTCATTGTCCCATAGATTCTCACATAGACAGACACTAAATTGAGCAACTATATGCATTATAGAAAAAGTGAATTATTCGTTTTTACTATTGTTCGATTAATTCTATAGATTTCTATTCACACCTGATCATCAATAATCAGTGTTAAAAATGTTTTTTTTTTCTTGCTCTGTTATTCTTTATCTAATGATAAAATCATGTATTCGATATTGTGATTTATTTTGCCTGTTCTAGATCAAACACCATCAAAAAGTTGGTGGATTATTTTACGTTTGGTTTTTTTCTTCTTTGCTATTGAATTTATGTATGCAGTGGAAACAGCACTTACTGTACCTATATTAACTTCACTACGTGTACCTGAATCGTATGTTATTGAAGAAATTTTTGTTTTTTTTTTCGTTGTTTGTTTAATTTTTATTTATCAAGATTTTATTCCATGGCTTGGCTTATAAGTCCAATCCTTGGATTTTTTCTTCAACCAATTATTGGGATGTGGAGTGATTCATGTAAATGTCGATGGGGTAGACGAAGACCATTTATTCTAGCATTTGCGATTGGTAAATTTATTTAGAAATATTTATTTGTACAAAAATTAAAGACACAAAGAATATTTTTTCAGGTGCTTATATTGGTGTTGCATTATTACTTAATAGTTCAGATTTAGGTGTACTTTTTGGTGATTCACGTGATCCTACTACAGTTAGATTGTTAAACATTCTTTTAAGTATTTTATATTATTGTTTTTTAAGACTCCGTATAAAGCCATTGTATTAACTGCTGTCGGTGTGACTTTTCTTGGTAAGAAAAAAAACAACAAAGAATGAATATAACTTTTCGATATTTGATTGATTATTTTTCAAATATAATGTAGATTTTTGTGCGGATAGTGCTGATGCACCAGTACGTGCTTATTTAATTGATACAACAAATTCAAGAGATCAAGAACGAGGATTTAATATACATGCTATTCTTGGTAAAGAATTGAAATCATTTAAAAAAAAAAACTTTTATTGTTGTATATTTAGGAGGTATAAAAATGATGTTCTGCAAAAAAAAGCACATGAAATTAAAGTATTTATTTTAAATAGGTATTGGTGGAGGTTTAGGTTTTATTGTTGGTGCTATACAGTGGCCATATATTCCGATGCTTCAGAAGGATGATAAAAGTTAGAAAAATTCTTTTTGTTAATTTTCATGAATTGTTTCTATATTATCATAGGTGGTGAATTTAGTGTGGTTTTTTATTTTGCTACTTTTTTATTTATTGTATGTTCGATATCAACATTAACAAGTGTTCGTGAAGAACCACTTATTTCATCATCCGCATCATCATCGTCACGTGATCATGGTGATACAGAAAATACAAATGAGGATGATCAACGAGAAATAGAAATAAGTGAAAAACGTCCATTACTTACACTTCGTCCAAATAGTTCACGATCATATAATACAACTGATAAATCAACAGCAAATATGTATTTGAGTGGTTTAGATAATAAAGAAGGATTTATTGAAATTGATCCAGCGACAGGTAGACATATACCTCATGACGATGTTGAAGGAACAAGTGAAGATATTTTATTAAAAACAATGGAACGTTCACATCAACTTGTAGCTGCATCATTGGCGAGTGCCGATTCTTCAAATACTGATGCAGTACCGACTCAAGCATTTGAAGCTGAACTTAAACAAAAAGCAAAATTAGTCAAATTAGGTATTCAATCGTTTGCTTCTTTTTGTAAATTTTCACTTGATGTTTTTATTCATAAATAAGGTCTTATGCGACGTCCTGAATCTGAAGAAAAGGATGATTATGATGAAAAAGATGCTGTGACAATAAAATCAATGATTATTTCAATGGTTCGAGTAGGTATCTTTGCTATTGTTTATTATAAAATATATTCATTTGATTTAATAAGATGCCTTCTCGACTATGGAAATTAATGATATGTCAAGTAATTGGTTGGGTGGCTTATTTTGCTACTCATTTATATTTTACTGATTTTATTGCTACGGTAAAAGTCGAATGCTTGTCTTTTTTTTGTCTCTTATCAATCCTGATGTTTTCTTTTCTAAAGAAAGTATACAATGGTACATTGGACGAAAAGGATCCAGAAGCTTTCGATCGTTATAAATACGGTGTTACAATGGGTTGTTGGGGTTTACTTTTATATTCAGCTAGTACTGCTATTTATGCTTGTACGTAAGAATCATAAAATAATAAGTTTCTTTTCTTTGAATAAAACAAGATGTATTATGTTAGTTTGTTTGGAACGATGGTTAGCAGAAAAATTTTCTTTAAAAACACTTTATTTTGTTGGTTATTTGGCATATGCTATTGGTTGCTTGATAAATTTTTTTGTTCCTCGTATTGCTGTTAATATTATTATGTGTATTACTTGTAAGTTTAGTTTTTCTATTTTATTTAATTTGATTATTATTATTAAATTTTAGTTGGAATGTTAGTTGTATCATTAAATACGCTTCCATATCATATGCTTTCACAGTTTCATGCTGATGAAACAGTTAGGTTTTTTTTCTTATTATAATTTGAATTAAAAATAAAAAAAAAAGAATTTTTTTTCTAGTATAAAAATAGAGATGGTTCAAAACGTGGTATTGGTGTTGATTGTTCATTATTAAATAGTTGTTATTTTCTCGGTGAATTAGCAGTAGCTGCATCATTAGGTCCAGTATTGGAACGTACTGGTGTAGAATATTGTATGATAGTAGGAACTGCGTTTGCATTATTTGGTAATGTAATTATGTTTTTTTTGTTCTTTTTTAAAAATTAATATAAATTTTCAGGAACTAATTTTCCTTTACATATGTGTGATAGATAAAAGTAATCTTTCAGACAATTAAGTTATGAATAAATTGTATTTTGTAATTCTTTTTTTTTTGTAATATTTCAATAAAATTTTTGTGATTATTCTATAAAGTCAGGTTCTTTTTTTTGTATGTGTAATGATTTATCTTTTTATAATATATATTGTTAATATGTTATAATCCATTTTGTTGTTCTTCGCGTGTATTGAATTTCTTATAAATACATCTACATAGTTCATGGTTTTTTCATTTGAAATAAATGAATTATTTAATGTAAAAAAGAAAAAAAGAAGACTAATTTGTGCTGTAACAAGATTTGGATGATTTATATACATGCAAAAACACAAAGAAAAGAAAAAGCACGACTCTAGTTCTGCATCCGTACTTCGAAGTATTGAAATTGTACTTTTTCTTCCTTGCTCAAACATCACCTGGCAGTCTTTGTTTGCAAAAAACTTTCGATAGGAATTGATATAGAGAGTTGTGGTTATCATCATTCGAAAAAGGTTGTATCATTGTGCATGATTTCATGTATGACTCAATGATGGTATTTACACTCCTTTTCAGATATTCAAATAAATTCTTTTTAGATTTATATTTTCCTAGCAGACAAACTCATGCAGTGATTATTCTTTACATGAAAAATTTTCTTAATAATAGTATCTAAACTTGCTAAGAGCATCGATGGTGAATCTTTAATACCGCCAGTTTTTAATAAATTTAATGGAAAAAAAAGTCTTGAAAGCTTGTTTTGCGTTTATCTCAAAATAGAAACGAAGGTTTCTCTCACATGGTATGCTAGATCAAACTTAATTTTTTTTAATGAATACTTAGATCAAATTGAGGTGCATGCTTTTTTTGCTCTCCAAAAAGTTTTTTTTTACGGAATTTGGCAGTCTTTTCAAAATTAAATCCATTGAAAAAAACACGTTTTTTGACAGCGTTTCCAGTATTTTGTTTTTCTTCCGCTCAAGGAATGATATTATTGAAAGGAAAAAAAAACACGCACCTCGGCTTGATCCACATTGTCACTAAAAAAATTACAACTCGAAAAAAATTAAATATAAAGTTTTGCTGGAGACGACTTCTGATCATATTTGGCTTTTTTGACTTTCATATTTTCTTGAAAGAAGTATTCAGAAATGTTGAGTATATGACAAGGTTTGTTCTACTTATCGAGATCTATTTGTCTTGAAAGTTTCATTATTTTTTTAACGAATGCGCTATATTCATCTGCAAACCCGAAATTTTAGTTGGCTATAGAAAGGCCGAAAGGAAAAATATATTGAATAAAGTTTTGTCTTCAGTGAACGTTGATGTCTGTAGTGTATTATGGGAGCAATAACAAAACAATTGCTATTCAACGTCGTATAGATATCTTGACGTACAATATAATAATGGTCTTATAATTGTAATAAAATATCTCAATGGTTTATCATTTACAGCTGCTTAATGGAAAAAATGTCACTACTATTTTTTTTTCGCTTTTTTCATCTCTTGTCTTGTATATGTTAGTATCATGTCAAAAATAAAGAAAGTCTTATTAGTTGAAATTTTAGACATTTCATCATGATTTGTTGTAAGGTTATATGCTCAACACTAGATAATGAGAGTGTAGATGCGGATCATTGACACGCAAATCCAGTGCATGCCTTAGAATTAAGCTTTTATGTCATATTCATAGAGTTATTAGTGTTTTTTTGAAGCCGATTGACTGACAATCCTATCATCACGCGATATTGTTCAATTACGCATGAAATTCTGCGCAGTAATATGACTTCTTTCGAAGAGTGAAACTCATAGTTTTTAATATTATTTCTCTGAAAAGTTATTCGACAATAAAGA